AAAATACTCTCTGTTAGTTAACAGACGTAATCGCCAAGCTAAGTAAACCTTTCAAAATACTCTCTGTTAGTAACAGACGTAATCTCAAGCTAAGTAAACCTTCAAATACTCTCTGTTAGTAACAGACGTAATCTCAAGCTAAGTAAACCTTTAAATACTCTCTGTTAGTAACGGATGTAATCTCAAGCTAAGTAAACCTTCAAATACTCTCTGTTAGCAACAGACGTAATCTCAAGCCAAATAAATATTTATATACTCTTTGTTAGTAACAGATGTAAGACAAATAAACCTGTAAATGCTAATAATATTAATAAAATCATTTTGGTTTATAAGTAATCATAGCATGATTTGGATAATGATCTGGAGTACGCACCCTGGAGGTTGCCCTTTCTTTTATGTCTACGTCCACCCACTCCTAAAGAAATGTTTTTGGTTGTTGTTTTTTTCAGATCGAAGCCACTGTGCATTATCTGAATATCCCTGAAGATATCTTTATTTATGTAGTGCCTGTCCACCGTTGAAGATACTATCTCTAAATCTTTGAATATAAACCCATGAAAACGTCTTTTATAAGGTATGTCATTGAACGAACACCCCAAAAAGTACCTTGCTTAATGATTGTGGTTGAAAACCCCTATTTTCTAGTCTTTCATTATACACCCTTAAATACGTCTGAACACTCCTGAAGTAGTCTTCATAAGGACTGTATTTGAACATCCCTCAAGAAGTATTTTAAGGTCTGTATTATAGCACAAGTTTCGGGCTGAAAACCCCTCAAGAAGTATTTTAAGGTCTGTATCTGGACACAAGATGAAAGCTGAACACTCCCAAGACCTCAATTTAAGATCTATGACTATATAACTCTGTGTTTGAACACATCTGAAGACGGGCGTCCTAATCAATGCGTTATGAACAAACGCCATATATTCTAAATATTTTTTTTAACATAGATAACATTTAAAGAAAATAATTTCTAAGTTCTCTTCGTGAACAATGATGAACTGTCAGATTTAAATTTCGTAATAGTTTAGATTGCCTTCCGAGTATTGCAATTGATATCTAAAGATCAAGTAATCGAAGAAATATATTTTTGGAATTTAATTTGCTGATGGACAGTTGTGAACTTAAATATCCCCCTCTTTTCCGTAAGATTTTGTTTTGGTAAAATTTCCTTATGCTTCTTAGTGGACAACATTAATATGAATGTGAAGATCATAGCCTGTCTGGACCACATTTAGTTTTAAGTGACTACAAAAATAGTATTACATAGCATTGTTCGCTAGTGACTTACCTCCAGGTCTTGGCCGTTGGCACAAGAAGGGATTTTTTACTTTACAGTCTCGGTCGTTCCAGTAGAATTTCCTCGTTCGTCCTTCACCTTTACTGGGATACCGGAAGAGGTCTCTCAATTCTACACAGTCCTGGGAAGAGAGACCATCATCGCTAGGCTGGGAGTTGTAGTAATTACGATCAGTCCAACCAGGAAACCAGTCTGAAAAAGGTAAGAACCATAGCACATATTCAGTAAAAGAATAATATTTTCATGGAACATATGAGAAAATTCTTAGCTGCGGCATAACGGCTCATAGAATAGCTTTGAATTTTTTCAAGTACAAACTTTTAGCTCATAGCTCCATAACCTCTTGACCGATTTGAGATCTAATTACAATTTTGGACCCAGTAGGTAAAACCCTTTCGAATGATGTATTTTACCATGCTCAAGGTCTCATAGATTAATTTACTTTAATCTTGCTTAAAATAATTTTAATTTGAGATTCGGTTGGTAGAGATCCTGATGAGTAATAAAATCGAATCGGTATACGCGTACTACATGCTTTGTATTGCTGATGCATAAAAATATAGCTAATAAAAAGAAAAAAAGGTCTCATAGATTAATTTACTCTAATCATACCTAAAATAATTAAGGGCCGCGGCTGTTGATGATTCCCTCTTGTTTGTTTTAATTTTATTTTTAAACTACAACTATGGCATGTAATCAGCGTGAGAAACGTTTTCGAGGAACTCAATAAAGTATTTTATATTTCGAATTCACTAATAGAAAAAAACCATAGCACGTGACCAGTGGGAAGACATTTTTAAAGGAAACGAGAATATGCTTTTTTGTCTCTTTGGAGCATATCAGAAACTAATTTGTTTTTGTCTCTTTGGAGCATATCAGAAACTAATTTGTTTTTGTCTCTTTGGAGCATATCAGAAACTAATTTGTTTTTAAAATTTGCGTTCTGATATATTTACAGGCTCTTGAAATTTTTGAAAGCATTAACAAATAAGTTTTCTTTTAAAATAGCAGTTTTTCAAAGAAAGGACAGTGCTATTTTCAAAATGAATACTACTTTATCGAACACAAAGCTTAAACACAAGGATATAGGGAAAGCCGATGAATGTCACTTTATAGGACACAAGGCTTAAACACAAGAATATAGGGAAAGCCAATGAACACCACTTTATAGGACACAAAGCTTAAACACAAGAATATAGGGAAAGCCAATGAACACCACTTTATAGGACACAAGGCTTAAACACAAGGATATAGGGAAAGCCAATGAACACCACTTTATAGGACACAAGGCTTAAACACAAGAATATAGGGAAAGCCAATGAATACCACTTTACAGGACACAAGGCTTAAACACAAGAATATAGGGAAAGCCAATGAATACCACTTTACAGGACACAAGGCTTAAACACAAGGATATAGGGAAAGCCATCCTTAATTTCGAACTACTGACCAGGAGCAAGAAACGAATTAATGAAAAAAAAATATAATTTACTTTTTAATAAGACTGAAAATAATTTTTCTAATCTTTCTTTTAACTGGCCCAATGCAGGTAAAGTATTTTTCTTGTTTGTTATTAAGCTCAAAGTTACACAATGGGATATCTGCGATGTGCCCATCGTAAGTATCGAAATCCAATTTTTAGTGTTGTAAGCCAGCAGACTTGCTGCTGAACCTTTGGGGGGCAAAATAGGTTTTTACCTTCTGTCTACTACTGGGAATCGAACCCCGAATTATAGCGTTTTAAGTCCGTAAACTTACCGCTGATTCACTGGAGGATAAAATATTTATGCGAGTATGGAAAATAATAAAAGATTGTAAATTAAAGTAAGGATTTTTTGAAAATTAGGTTGCATTCTGCAAGGTGAACAGGATGTAGTACATTATGGTAATTTTTTATTTCTTGTTAATATCTTGGAGTTTGATATTTATATTATAATGTAATTTGCAACTTCATCACCTTCAATTTTAGATCACTTTTCTATAATTTGAAGAAAGAAAAGGAAAGAAAATAATCTGAAATCGCTTTCAACAATCTTATCATACATTAATTTACTGTACAACGTTTCAGCCATAGGCCTACTTCAGGCTCAAATGAAGTTGGCCTCTGAGTGAAACATTGTACAATATATTCATTTATGATAAGATTGTTGGGAGCAATTTCAGTTTATGTATTTTCGTTTCTCATCAAATCATGTTAAACACAAAGCTATACAATGAGCTATTTGCGTTGTGCTCTCTATTGCTATCGAATTCTACTGAAAACAAAACTTTTTTGTAATGATGTGTATCACACTTATTCTTTAAGACAGGAACGTTAAGCATTTAAAAACTAAACTAAAAACTAAAACTAAACTAACCTACCGTATTGTACGCTGAAATATTTTATATCAGATAACATCCTTCCACATGTATATGTGTATGTAGACATATATCAGCTTCATATATTAATTAAACTTTATATATGTTAATATAACTGGCGTCGTTTGTAAGCATAATTTTGAAAAACATTTCTTTCTTTACCAAATTAAAATGCAATACTTTCTTTTTAAAATGTTTTTTTTCGAAAACTATTTATGTGTATGATTAACTTCATAACAGCAATTACATACCAAGAAGGTTCCAATGAAGCAGATTTGAGATATAGCGATTGTTACGTATTAGAATTTCAAATAGTCTGCAACCGAGCTAAATGATACTTTAAATTTAGTAGTTAAATTGTATATTGGAGTTAGTCGATATATGGTCAGTTTATGATATTTGCCAACAAGATTGATACACGCAGTTTTCTTTTTTAATCACAAATACGTTTTAATATACACACAACAATACAATTTACAATAACAGTTATTAGAAATAGTTATTACAAACAATGATTTATAAACAAAAGTTTCACAAACTTACAAGCAATATAATATCTTCCTTTTAGACTGGAATTTCTTCGATGAGCGAGTTGATTATGGATTGGATGTAGCTATAATTCAGGAAGCTAGCTAAAGCTAGCTTTGTCCTTCGTTATTCACCAGCCACACACGCCAAGTTTTCCACGATGAATTTATGTAATATTTTCGTAAAAAATACTAATGTCCGATGAGAATCTACTGAAGTTAAATGATTTGTAATGTTCGAACTTTGTAAATGTTCTTGGTCAAATATCTGAAGTTCTCCGATTGATAAGCGTTATAACAATCACATTTATAGTACACTGACTATAGCAAACTAATAATACTAATAGATATTCTCTTTTTTTGGCGCGTTGCGTTGTTTATATTTATAGGCGTGTGGAAGCTTTTTAGAAATTTCAGTTTTACGTAACAATACTGACGCTAACACAAGTGTTTACGTACATATATATATTGTTGATTCTTACCCTCGAGAATCTTCTACAACTTAGGAGAATGTTTTGCAATACATATTTAACACTATAAGCTATAATATAAGCTATAATATAAATTTAATCTAAACAAACGTCGATATTAAAATAAATATATAATAATAAATTCGTCACATGATCAGTTTGTTTTAGAATTTCAGACTATCTTTGTATAGCCGTCTTTAATTCGAGTTTGATAAGCTGGAGGTAAAGTTTGGGTTGGTTTGGTTTCTTTGGAATTTCGCACAAAGGCTACACGAGGACTATCTGCGATAGCCGTCTCTACTTTAGCACTGATAGACAAGAGGAAAGGCAGCTAGTCAACACCACCCACCGCCAACTTTT